AAGGAGCCTCATATAACTCAAGCTGGCTGGCACTCAAAGTGTGCGTGTATACGTGTTTGTGCATATATGTATGTGGGTTTGTGTGTGCATGTGTTGTTTGAGTGCATGCAAGTTTGCCCATGTGCATGTATTTGCATGTTGGATACACGTGCTTGCAGTGCACATCTATGTGTATGTGAGCATGAATTTGTGCGTGGATGTTTATGCATATGTTTTGTGTATGCTTGCATTGTTTGAGTGTGTGTGTGCATGTGTGTATCTGTGTGTGTTTGCACTCATGCACTCGTGTTTTTGTGTGTGTGTTGTGTGCAGTGGTATGGCACATTTAGGAGTTGCGTTTTGCCAGGCTGAGTCACACAGCCTTGCTGCAGACATGGCAGCAGAGTAGGGCGGCTGAGGATATAACCTCAGTGGGCGCTGGTGACTGCTATACTGAGCAGGTGGGGGAGTTGGTGACAACCATGTGGCTTGTGATGTTGTTACTGGACAGGGAGCAGAGTTGAGGGTGCCTGAACAAGCTGAGTTAGAGGCATATGAGACATGTATGATACTTACTGGGACAGGCAGGTGAGGGCACTGAGGATGAGGACCCCTGGGGACACCACACTTAACAGAGGCAGAGTAAGGGGCTCAGGGCCAGAGGAAGAAAGGGAGGAGAAAAATCCCTGAAGCAGAGAGGTGAGTGATGAGTGGTGACAGAGAAGGAGCTGAGTCAAGTCCAGGCGCAGGCAGGGGCCAGGAAGGAAGCCTGAGAAGGGACAGGGTGGGTGAGGCTGTTGACATCAGGGAGCAGGCCCCTTTTGCATTTTACGTGAGCTTTGCCCTCTGCCCACCCACTTGCCCAGTCTCTGCTTTCATTGCTCTGGAAGCCAGGCCTGAACAGGAAGGGCTGGGAGGAAGTAAGCCCCAGCCCAGGCCTTATGGGTAGCAGCCATGGGAGCATCGGGATAACACTGGACTCCTCTGAATCTCAGGCTTAGGGCTTAATTAATGAATTGCTCAGGGACATTCCTTCCTCTTATTCAGAAAGGGCCACAGCACCATGGAAACTTCCCTCAGGTTCCTTAGGCAGGCAACATCAAATGGGCCTGGCACTCACTAGGAGCCAATAAGAAGGTGTTGGCCGAGGGCCATGAGCTCGCTCCCACGCAGACGTGCCAACCTGTGCCTCAGCCTCCTCATTCGTATTCTGAACCCAACAGCAGAGCTAAAAGGGAGGGATTCAGATCCTTTTTTTCTCTGTTCCCTAAGGACCCTGGAGGAATTTCATATTTAAAATCATCTTGGCAAGACCTGGGGTGCCTCTCAAAGGTCTTTAAGGAGGCCCAGGTGCTCCTTCCTGAGAGGCCAAGCCGGCTCTGCTTATCAACTGAGAATGCTCAAGAGCACCAAAATCCACTGGCAGGATTTGGGGGAGGGGCCTCTATCTGTATGTCTCTGCATATGCGCGTGGATGTACCCTGAGCCAAGGCTGGGTGGAGGCCTGATGTTGGACCTCCTCTCTTCTCCTCTTGCCAGTTATAGCTCAGAAGCCCCTATGGCTGCCTCCTCTGCTCTTAGATCTAAGCCTCACGAGGAGGTTGCAGCTAGTGGCAGCAGGCTTGTGGTTGAGGTCATCTGGTGCACTGTGCTCTCCACTGTCATGAGCCCCTTAAGGCCATACCAGCATCTCTGCAAAGCACAAGTTTCCAAATGAACCATCTGCCAACAAGACACATGGGTGATCAGAGTATGACAATGGGCTCAGGAAAATGCCAGGGCCCACATGTAAGGACTACAGACAAACTTGACCTGGGATTTAAGGGCCCAGGGCAGAAAGGCACACAGAAACAGCCACAGATGCACCTTGTTGTGTGCTATAAAATATTGGAAAACAAGCCCAGATATCAACACCATTTTTTTTTTGTCCTTTCCATCTGTGTTTGAGTTCTTTTTTTTGCAGTTTTTGGCCAGGGTGGCCTTGAACCTGCCACCTCTGGTATATGGGTATGGCGCCCCACTCCTTTGAGCCACAAGTGCTGCCCTATGTTTGAGTTCTAAGCAAATTATTCCTTCCCTGCTGCTGAAACAAAAATTAAATAGAATTTGAAGATATCTTCACACACATACATTTTTGTCTCTCCGTGCTCAAGTCCTCAAGTGTGTCCAAAGAACAGAAATTCAAAGAGGGCCTGGGTGTTGACATATGCATCAGAATTCACGCATGGCAAGAAGCTGGAGGTGGGATCTAGCTGCCTCTCCAAGCCTGTGCTGCAACCAAAATAAAATGCCAGAAGCCCAAGAAAACTGGGGTTTTGAAGCAGATCAGGTTCACTTAGTGCTTGTGTACCAAGAATTACTGCAAGAGTACACCTGGAGGTGATTAAAAAAGTGAAGCCTCTGCAGGGCAATGGGGAAAAGTACCCTGCAAAACAACTTTCTACTTAAAAAGGCCAATAATGAGTAGTGCAAAAATGAAAACCTCATACCTTCCAAAAGCTTCATGTATAAATTATGTATAAAATTAGAATGCTAAATAAAAAAGACCAGTAGATTTACTCCTCCTTCTCCTAACCCATCTTGATAGTTTCCCATTTCAGCTTCCAGATGTAATTTCTCTTGCTTTCAAGGATGCTTACCCAGCTATGGTCTGTACCAGACGGGGTAGCTGGCATGGTTCGTGGCTGCCAGCAGGCCCTTGGGAACACAGAGCTGGCCCAACCCATAGCAAAGACTCTCTGAACCACATGAGAGCAAATACTGCTTCCAAAACCAAAAAGGGATTTTGCAATTTGTTAAGACAGGGTGTAATAAAGTTTTTATTCAGATCTTGAAGGTTATTGGTGCTTTCCCCAGAAGCTATTTATTTCTGAAAAATGAGGCAAAGTTCTGCTGTACTTATCTTGGTAGATCTCAACTAGGATGGTCTATCTTTTCCTAATTCAATCGGTTTTTTGCAAAGGTTTCTGGTTCATCTGAAGGATGGAGAGCACAGTTCTCACTTCCCTTTTAGGAGACAAAAATAGACATTCATCAGACAGAACCCTGCCAGTGCATGTGGGCAGGGCCATTGCCTGTTTGACAGAGTCCCTCCCTAATACACAGACAAAGAGGAAACAAAAGCCCCTACCATAGCTGCCCTGTAGGTCAGAATTCAGCCCTGGTTGACTCTGCCTCCTCATCTCCAAGGCAGGTCACCATTGGAGGCCTGGGGGACTGACTAGGGTCCTGCCAGTTTTCTTTGGCCCTCTTGCCCCAGTGGGCCACTCAAGCCCTGTCCCCACCAGCCGAGGGTTGGCATCCTTCTCTCTGGGTTCATGCTGCCTGGAAACTTGCTGCAGGAAGACACCTGCCACCTGCTTTGTGGCCCAGCATGTGCACCACATTCTGCCTCCTTGTTGCTCTTTTCAGTGGCCTGGGTGGTCCCAGCCCCTCCCAGTACTTTCTCCTTAGCCCCACTGGTGGGTAATGTGACTAAGGGATACTGGGGGTAGCAGCACTGCCTGGCATCTTCAGTAGAGTGACAGAGAGTCTGTTCTGTGCCTGGGGTATCCTTTCTTCCTGTACTGGAGGAGCAGAGTATACCGGGTGAACAGCATCCTACAAGGGCCTGTATGGGCTGTGCCCCATTACAGTCCAGGGATGACCCAGAGACCTCCAGACAGTGTCTACTGGAAGAGCAGTAGGCAGACAGGACAAGCCTCCATACACATTGGGTCAGGTGCACCTGCAGCCACCACTCCTTCACACAGA